AGGCCTTTATGCTTTGCCTTACAAATCTGCCAGGCTTCCGCGTAATGTCGGTGTTTCCTGTCGCGGACTATCTGCATTAGTCTTGCTTGGTCCCATTCAACTTTGACGTCTTGCTGGTCCGCTAGAACGTAGGTGGCTAGCACAGTGCATGGTTGTTTTTTTCTTATATTTGCTTGATGTTCTGCTAACCTGTCTTTGATACATCTTCCTGTTGCCCCTATATACATTAATTTACTACGTCGCCTTGAGTCCGTAACTGGAATTTTATATACTCTGGGGAGTGTTCTTCTGTCCGCTAAATCCTTATCAGATCGTAATAGTTGGTACGTGGTGGGGGTTCTTTTATATAGGATTCTTTTGTTCTGGGCCTTTCCGATGCGTCGAAAAATATTAATCAGTGAAGCATTATAATCCATCGTTAAAGCTCCTGCATTAGGAGGTAAATTTCTCTTCTTAGGGCGCGTTTTACTCTTGTTGATAATAGCTTTAATATTAATCCCGTATTTTCTGGCTAAGTTATATATATACTTCAGTTATATATATAACTTCTGGCTAAGTTATATATTTTATATTTCTGTTGCTACGTTCACAATGACGTCATTTGCAACGGATTATAAGGCTAGTTCGAAAAGATTCGAAAAACGTGTTAACTGTACTAAGCGTTCGATTTACAATTTTGTTGTTGTATTTGATTTATTTTCTTGAGAAAGGTCTTTTAACAAGACCGAAAACGTTAGAAAGTTTCTCTTATAAACTTTGGCTGCAAGAAAAGCTGTGTGAGTAAGTGTTTTAATATTACAGTATGCAGTCTAGAACGATTTGTAGAGAAGTATCTTGGCAGCGAGGATATTCATCGTATAGTCTGGCCAGCCCATTCTCCTGACCTGAATATGATTGAAAATGTATGGAATGCCTTGGGGAGACATATTGCTAGTGGTCAGTATCCACGGACAAGCAAGGAGTCCCTCATCCATGCAGTGAAACAGGAATGGGACAACTTGCCTCAACAGCTCCTGGATCATGTTGTTCTAAGTATGCCATGCTGTGTACAAAGTTGCATTGCATGTCACGGTGGCCATATCCTATACTGACATGACACTCAGGATTGTTTGTGGTAAGTATTGTGCATTTTTTGTACAACCATGTCTTCAGACAATATGCACCTTTTACAAAAATACCCTCTTTTGACATTTTGCATATTTCCTTTGAACATAATTATTATATTAAATCATGTTGAACATGCTGTCAATACTAATGTTTTTTTCTTGGTCTACAACCACATGTAGTTTTTCATATACATGCCTATTTCTTCTTCGTCCTTAAGTTTTGTCCACCAGTGTATATATATGAGTATATTTTATTGTATTTCATTTATTACATTATTATTATGAAGTTCATTTTATTTATAAATTAACTTATAAATTTTAATTTTTCTTACACACAATTTCTATATATTTTGGTTAGTTTAAATCTTATTTATGCTTAACTCAAAATACTTTGATATTCTAGTTATAAGAATATAATTGCATGAATATTTTTTTAATAATCAAACTTTTATTTAACCACAGGATTATTATTATTTTATTCCTAAGGTCAATTTTTTAGTTTTAAAGTGAAAATTAATGATCTAGTATGAAAATAAAATCTTAGAGGGATAAACAAAATAACAAAAAATAAAATACTTTTACAGTTAATCATATTCATCCAGAATTTTGCAATTACTTAAACAATTATTTTAAAATAAATAGTTAATTATGTGTAAGAAATGTTTTTAGTTCAATTTTCACTCATATAGAACATTTCAAAAGAAAGAAAGAAAAAAAAATTTCTTATCTGATGAAGACGATAATACATTGTCAAAAGTGCTTGCATTTACATTTTACGTTTTAAAGAAAAAATACTTGAAATGAAATGTAATTTTTAATGTTGTTCAATTCTATAAAATTCAGAATCTATATTCCATTTTATTTTAGAAGTATTTTACTTATGCTGAAGCTGGCACAAAACAAGCTAAAAATGTTTCTTATATATGACTAAAGATTTGGCTACCTGAAAGAGCTATTTAAAATTTCATATCTTACAGTACGGTGTCGAGATTTAATCAGTTTGATGAATTATTTTAAAGTGTGAAAAATTAAATTCCATATTTTTTCACAAACTTGATTCTACGGTATTTCATTATTGAAATTTAAAAATTTATTATGATTTTTCAGATATAAAAAAATTATTATTTTTATTTTAATATAGTTGCAAAAAGAAAGTATTTTACCATTTAGTTCATCTGATTTAATTGGTAAGATTCATTTGTTTTAATTACATTATAAACTAATTTTTGTACAATTTCATTAATTTAAATTATGCATCATTTTTTATTAATGAAAAAGTAGAATGTTTTTTTCATTTTTTAAAATATTTTTATTTTTATTTTGATGATTTACAGTTGGTGAAAATGGAGTCAACTTCATTTTCTTAAATGGGAATCTCAATTTTTTTATTGCATATTTTCTACATCAAAAAGAAACAAACTTTTATCTGAAACATTTTTCAAAAGATATACTTATCAGATGTTATGAGTGTTTGAATTTTTACACAGCTGCCACATTGCACAAACATATGTGAAGTTCATTGGAAAGAAAGGAAGAAAAGTACTAAAACAATCATAAAACTATTATTATTTGGTGGAATCATTCCTTTTCTTCAAATAATGAACTGATACAAAAACTCATGCCAGAGCTCAAGATTATCTCAAATTTACTCAATACATTTTTCATTTTAATTATAATTTTACTGGCATTTTTTGTTAATGACCCCTAATATTAGGTAGTGTTGTTGCACACTGTCAAGACTGACCAAGATGCAAAGACTTTATGCATTGAGTTTTTATTCTTATATTTTTGAATAACAAATTATTAATTACTCATTGGCAAACTCAATAATTTATAATTTTAAAATTTTATTCTTATAATACAGTAAGTCTCCACTTAACATTGTCAATAGGTTCTTGGAAACTGTGAAATTAAGTGAAAACAATGTCTAATGATACCAATTATGCTATTGGTATCATTAGACATTATTTAGCCAATTATGCTATTGGCTAAATAATGTAATTAGGTTAATATTGATCTAACTGGATCATATTTGCAATCTTCAGCATTTATTTTCCATTTCATAGAATCAATTTTACTGTTTATAAAGAAACAATAATATAATGTAATCACAATAATAAGCATTTCAGTTTTCAAATGATGAAAAATTGTCAATAATTTATTAATTAAAATATTTTCTGTACTGTATTATGATTAAAATTATTTTTTTGCAGTAAAAAGTAGCTCTCTCATTGAAGTTTGTTTTAGTGAATTGCATAATTGCATTTGTTCAAACAAAACAACTAATAATTCAATCTTTCTTACTTCAGAGATAAGAGTGAGTAAGGGTTTCATTAATTTTAAGTAAAACAAAAATTTTTTAAGTTTTGATCCTACCTATTTTTCCAGAAAAAAGTTGAAGATATTATATATATTTTAAAAAATAAAACTTCTGATAATCTTATGCAATTTCAATTTTGTAAATTTCTTAATACTATTGTAAGTATTATTTTTTTTATGTTTAAATATAATTATTTTATATATGCTTAAATAGAAATTTAATTTAAATTAAGTTAACTACATATAGCCTCCTTGAAATCCTGAGAAATCCTTATTCTTACTTTTTTTTTACATACATACCTATAGGCATGTAAATACCTAGATCTGAAGTGCTTATGTAAGAATAAATATTCCTCAGAATACCATGAAGACCATAAATAGTTGGATTTAGCAGAAATTAACCTGTCCTTTTGAATGTAAATACAAATACAGTAAAACTTCTCTAACTAAAATGTCTGTAACTTGAATATTTCTTTAATTTGAAGAAAACGAATCACTTAATAGATTTCAATGGAATAGCATAGGGATTTAATGTCTCCAATTTGAATTTCTTAACTCAAATTTTCTCCAAGTCAAAGGTTTTCATTGTCCCTTGACAGTGATTTACATTATTTTCAACTTTCCTGACTCATATTTTAATATTTATTCTATTCAAAGTGATCCTAATTATTGAATTTCCAAGAAATTTTCAGACAGTTAGCTTTGTCTATTGTTCAACATTGATTTGCGGATGAAATTCCAGTCCAAAGTGAGATGACATCTTGCTTTATCTCAACAAGATGTACCTGCAAAACAGTTTTATTACATTAATTACATTGAACGTTTTACTGAAAGGCAATACATGGGCTGTTTAAAGCAAAAAAACTATCAAAGATTCTTTATATAATGCAAGGGAGGGAAAAATACAAATCTGTTAAGAATTGGCATTTTTTACTCTATTGTTCTCTAACTCAAATTGTCTGTAACTCAGTTTTCTTTGTGTTCCTTGGAGCTTTGTGTTAGAGAAGTTTTACTGATCATTTAAGATCATCAACTTCTGTATAGGAAATAATTACTTTATTTTATTTAGTTTTAAATTGTAACTTTACATTACGTGACATTTTTTATTATAGGAAATATTTTCTTTAGAGCTAATTTGGAGGCTACAAAGGAAGGGAATAATAACAATAGAAGCATTTTTAATACAGTAAGTCATTATTTAATATTTTATATATTTTTTAATGATTAAAATATAATAATAATATTGTTGAAATTTATTCAGAAATAATTTTAAAACAAAACAAAAAATTGTTATATTATCAACATATGGGTTGGCCATGTGGAGTTTTCTGAGTTTTTTCACATGTCTAACTCCTAAATAGAGATCAGTTTTCCATAGAAAGACCTCCTGGGAGGTACTCCTCCCTTAGCAGATTGCCCATGTGTTGCATTGCTATACATGGGTATCTGCACTTACCATTAACCATTAACCATTATTATTGTTTGCTTGTAGAAAAATTGCATTTTAACATAGATTTATAGATGATGATAAGTTGGATATTAAAATACAGTATTTCAAACTAAAAATTTAACATGTAACATGGAACTTCTACAACACAGTTTTGTCTAAAATGGTTTTGCAGCAGTAATAATATTTTAAAATAAAACAAAGGCGTAGTATCTTATAACACAATTGTACAATATACAGTAAAAATCTGTCTCCTGAAATTTTCCACCAAAAATACTGTACTTCCCACTAAATTTAGTGGGAATCTGCCAACTTAGCAACACTCTTTAATTAATCAGTAAAGTCAAGGTGCCTTGATGTTTTATTAGTAATCCATCTNAATGATTGTTCGAGCTTGAATAATTGTAACATTTTTTCCTTGCAAACATTTCTGTACTATATTAATGATTTTCGATATATTACGATATTTTCTCTGTAAAGGACAAATATCTACATTTAGATATAAAATACATAGAATGACAACCCTACTAGAGTGTAACAGTGCAACGTGTCTGTGTATAAAGAACTACCAGCATTCATAACATGTTTGTAACACTAGTACAGTTGCCAGATGCGGAAAAACAGAGTAACACATGCTTAAAGTGGTGTAGGCTAAGGCAAAACTCAACATATAACTAGGGTAGTCAGAAATGTTGTTGATCATATCCGTATTTCGAATATTTATTGGAATATTCCATTTTTTTCCCTAGACAGTTTAATTGATCCTCTTTGGTATTAATCGACCCCCTTTCGACCCTCGTGTATTAATCGACCCCTGGAGAACTCTTATCGACCACTTTGGGGACCCCTAATGTATAGTAATGCAAAAAGCAAAATTTATATATTAAAATAAAGTTTGTTCTATACTTGTCCTGGAAAAGAAAACATTTTTTATTTGATCTTTGAGTAATTTTTTTTCATAATGTAAAACAATCACAATGCTGTTCACCCAGTAGTTGACCAGGAAATTCCCAAGTCTAACCACTTATGATCCAGTTGTTCACCACATAAGTCAACTGCGATTTTTATCTGTATAAATTCAGTTGAATAAGTGGGATTATGTGAATTATGGTTTATTTACTGTACAAAAATCACATATGATAAGGGGTTCCTGCTATTGGTGAACATTTCAAATGGTACCATTTGTTTCAATAGTTGAAGCCAACATTTTTTAGTTCATCCATTTTTGTGTCACTATCTAAACCATCAACACAACTTGCACACTTTTGCTTTCCCGTCTTCATTTGTATTTAGTGATTCAAGAACTGTTCTGTGTTTACCCCTCAGCCACTACATTTCCTGGAAGATCTTTCAGCTTTATTTATCAGTCTTCATTTTTCCTCCTTTCTTATTCTCTGTTTTGCTTGCTTTTACTCTTTCCTTTTCCAATATGAACTCTCATGACTTGGAAGCAATAGCACTTGGTGGATGTTCTTTTTGTAATAATTGGTTGTGGCCAATACAAATGATGGAAATGTGTCTACTAGCTTTCCATGTTGTATATGGAATTGCTGGAGATAGATTTGAATTGGACTGGTTTGTTTCAGAATTTTCAGAACTTGATGAGACTCTGATAGACATTTTTTGGCCTTTAATAGCAGAAAGAGTACCAGAGAGTGCTTTCTCCGTATACTGATGTGTTTGGCATTTTTGGACTTTGCCTTTTACTGGTTGCATTCTTATGCTTTGACACCTACGAATTATACAACTGTTAATTTTGTTATTCCGTTTTTATGGATGATTTTGATCGGCTTGATATTTAAATATTAAATACCTTGGAATAACAGGCATTGGAAATAATCAGTGATTAATGACTGGTTATTCTGCGCAATCAGCATAGTTGCATGATCATTTATGGCAGTTGACAACTGGGTTTTCATTTATCGAGTGCATCACATATGTGACCACTTAAAAGGGAAACCTGAAGTGCATTTTCAGTCACAAAAAAGCCATGAACTCCAGTAATTGACCCCTACGGTTGAACATGCAAATATACAGAGTCAGTCTATCCAGTAGTCAACAACCTCATTTTTTACATATTATATCAGAATTGATGCAAATTCTTAGCTATGACAGCAAGCTCAATAATAGACATTTTGTAGAAAATACTCACCTGAAACCCAGAACCTTTGTTATCTTTTAAAGACTTGACAGTACCATATGTGGTCAATTACCATAAGGAGTGTCGAGCAATAATTTTTCCCATCCCCATGAGTGAGGCAACCTGTTATTCTTATATGTCACTAAAAATGGGATAATCTTATGATGCTTTCTGTGAAGACAGCTTGCATAAACCTGTTCAGATAGACTAGTTATGCACTGATTTCAGCTTACGTAGTTGACTACTAGAAGTGGTCAGTAATAGTAGCCCCTACCCTGTGTGTCTGTGTGTATGTGTGTGTAATCATCTTTATTTTATGATCTTTTTATGAATTTATAAAATATAGCTAATTATTTTATTGATCATTATTGATATAATAAATAAATAAATTTGTAATTTTATTTCTAAAAATAGTAAATGGCTTCTGTTCAAGTTAAACCTATTAATTCATCTGAACTTAAACAAATGATGAAATCTCTTATTAATAAACCTGAAAATATTCTTCAAAGAGCAAAAGAGGTAAATATTTCAATATATTAATATATATATATACACACTGATGGACAAAACATAAACACAAATGCTATTTTCAACAATTACAGTTAGAAATTGAACAATTACAGTCAGTTGAAATATGCTTGAAATTGTGATGTAAAACTTATATACTGTTATGTAAAACTTATAAAAATGTTTGAGTTTTGCACATGTTGGTCACATGACAGCACAGATATGAGATTTCAGGCAATCTGCACATGCATTCAGTTTTCATTGGATGTGAAATTTGAACAGGAAGGAGTGAAATTACAATAATAAAATTCTGGACATATCTTCCAGACATCATTTAGATGATTTTATTTGTGGAAGAATAATCGGAAAGCTGGAAGAAGGGCAGAATATAACAGATGTTGCACATGTATTTAACATTGCGCACAGTATTGTTTCTAGACTATAGGCAGCATTTCAAACTAGCGGAATAAGCAGCAGGTGCAATGGGGAAGGTTTTCCTAGCAGTACGACACCCCAAGAAGAAAAGTATATTGTTCTTTCAGCAAAAAGGAACCAACGCAGTGCAGCTTGTGAACTGGCAAGTCATTTACAGGCGGCCACAGGAACTAAGATATCCCATAAAACTGTTGCAAGACGTTTGCAAAACAAAGGACTATACGCCCAAAGACGTGTTGTGTGTGTCCCACTCTTAAAAGTTCACCAAAGCACCCATTTGCAATGGTGCAGTCTGCATTGCATTTGGACAAATGACAGCTGGGCTACCATGCTTTTCTCAGATGAGAGTAGATTCAGTCTATCGTCTGATTCTAGATGGCAATTGATATGGCGTGAGGTTAGGAGTTTTTATCATCTCAAAAATATTCAAGAAAGGGATCAATATCTGACTTGTAGTATCATGGTGTGGGCAGATATCATGGTCAATAGCCATACCCATATGTGATTGACCGAGGGACCATGACTGGCCAACGGTACATTGACGAAGTTCTTCTCTTATGTGTTCAATTTTTCCGAGGTGCTGTCAGTGAAA